GTGTGTGTGAGGCTACACTACTTGTGTGTGTGTGAGGCTACACTACTTGTATGTGTGTGTGAGGCTACACTACTTGTATGTGTGAGGCTACACTACTTGTGTGTGTGAGACTACACTACTTTGTGTGTGAGGCTACACAACTTGTATGTGTGAGGCTACACTACTTGTATGTGTGAGGCTACACTACTTGTGTGTGTGAGGCTACACTACTTTGTGTGTGAGGCTACACTACTTTGTGTGTGAGGCTACACTACTTGTATGTGTGAGGCTACACTGCTTGTGTGTGTGAGGCTACACTACTTTGTGTGTGAGGCTACACTACTTGTGTGTGTGAGGCTATACTACTTTGTGTGTGAGGCTACACTACTTGTGTGTGTGTGAGGCTACACTACTTGTGTGTGTGTGAGGCTACACTACTTTGTGTGTGAGGCTACACTACTTGTATGTGTGTGTGAGGCTACACTACTTGTGTGTGTGTGTGAGGCTACACTACTTGTGTGTGTGTGAGGCTACACTACTTGTGTGTGTGTGAGGCTACACTACTTGTGTGTGTGAGGCTACACTACTTGTGTGTGTGTGAGGCTACACTACCTGTGTGTGTGTGAGACTACACTACTTGTATGTGTGTGTGAGGCTACACTACTTGTGTGTGTGAGGCTACACTACTTGTGTGTGTGTGTGGCTACATTACTTGTATGTGTGTGTGAGGCTACACTACTTGTGTGTGTGAGGCTACACTATTTGTGTGTGAGGCTACACTAGTGTGTGTGAGGCTACACAACTTGTGTGTGTGTGAGGCTACATACTTGTATGTGTGTGTGTGGGCTACACTACTTGTATGTGTGTGTGAGGCTACCTACTTGTATGTGTGTGTGTGAGGCTACACTACTTTTATGTGTGTGTGAGGGGTACATACCTGTGTGTGTGAGGCTACACTACTTTTATGTGTGTGAGTAGGGCTACCTACTTGCATGTTTTGTGTGTGAGGTACACTATTTTGTGTGTGTGTGAGGCTACACTATTGTATGTGTGTGTGAGGCTACACTATGTATGTGTGTATGAGGGTTTCACTATTGTATGTGTGTGAGGGTACACTACTTGTGTGTGTGGGCTTTCACTATTTGTGTGTGAGGCTACACTACTTGTATGTGTGTGTGAGGCTACACTACTTTGTGTGTGAGGCTACACTACTTGTATGTGTGTGTGAGGCTACACTACTTGTGTGTGAGGCTACACTATTTGAAAGTGCCCTGTGAGGCTTACACTATTTGTTTGTGCGTGTGAGGCTCACTACTTTGTGTGTGAGGCTACACTATTTGTATGTGTGTGTGAGGCTACACTACTTTGTGTGTGAGGCTACACTATTTGTATGTGTGTGTGAGGCTACACTATTTGTATGTGCGTGTGAGGCTACACTATTTGTATGTGCGTGTGAGGCTACACTACTTGTATGTGCGTGTGAGGCTACACTATTTGTATGTGCGTGTGAGGCTACACTACTTGTATGTGTGTGTGAGGCTACACTACTTCTATGTGTGAGGCTACACTACTTGTATGTGTGTGTGAGGGTACATACTTGTATTTTGTGAGGTACAATACTTGTGTGTGTGAGGCTACACTACTTGTGTGTGTGAGGCTACACTACTTGTGTGTGTGTGAAGCTACACTACTTGTGTGTGTGTGAGGCTACACTACTTGTGTGTGTGTGTGTGTGTGTGTGTGAGGCTACACTACTTGTGTGTGTGAGGCTACACTACTTTTGTGTGTGAGGCTACACTACTTGTGTGTGTGAGGCTACACTATTTTTGTGTGTTGTGTGAGGCTTTCACTACTTGTGTGTGTGAGGCTACACTACTTTGTGTGTGTGAGGCTACACTACTTGTGTGTGTGAGGCTACACTACTTGTGTGTGTGTGAGGCTACACTACCTGTGTGTGTGTGAGACTACACTACTTGTATGTGTGTGTGAGGCTACACTACTTGTGTGTGTGAGGCTACACTACTTGTGTGTGTGTGTGGCTACATTACTTGTATGTGTGTGTGAGGCTACACTACTTGTGTGTGTGAGGCTACACTATTTGTGTGTGAGGCTACACTACTTGTGTGTGTGAGGCTACACAACTTGTGTGTGTGTGAGGCTACACTACTTGTATGTGTGTGTGTGAGGCTACACTACTTGTATGTGTGTGTGAGGCTACACTACTTGTATGTGTGTGTGTGAGGCTACACTACTTGTATGTGTGTGTGAGGCTACACTACCTGTGTGTGTGAGGCTACACTACTTGTATGTGTGTGAGTGAGGCTACCTACTTGCATGTGTGTGTGTGAGGCTACACTACTTGTGTGTGTGTGTGAGGCTACACTACTTGTATGTGTGTGTGAGGCTACACTACTTGTATGTGTGTATGAGGGTACACTACTTGTATGTGTGTGAGGCTACACTACTTGTGTGTGTGAGGCTACACTATTGTTTTGTGAGGCTACACTACTTGTATGTGTGTGTGAGGCTACACTACTTTGTGTGTGAGGCTACACTACTTGTATGTGTGTGTGAGGCTACACTACTTGTGTGTGAGGCTACACTATTTGTATGTGCGTGTGAGGCTACACTATTTGTATGTGCGTGTGAGGCTACACTACTTTGTGTGTGAGGCTACACTATTTGTATGTGTGTGTGAGGCTACACTACTTTGTGTGTGAGGCTACACTATTTGTATGTGTGTGTGAGGCTACACTATTTGTATGTGCGTGTGAGGCTACACTATTTGTATGTGCGTGTGAGGCTACACTACTTGTATGTGCGTGTGAGGCTACACTATTTGTATGTGCGTGTGAGGCTACACTACTTGTATGTGTGTGTGAGGCTACACTACTTCTATGTGTGAGGCTACACTACTTGTATGTGTGTGTGAGGCTACACTACTTGTATGTGTGAGGCTACAATACTTGTGTGTGTGAGGCTACACTACTTGTGTGTGTGAGGCTACACTACTTGTGTGTGTGTGAAGCTACACTACTTGTTGTGTGTGTGAGGCTACACTACTTGTGTGTGTGTGTGTGTGTGTGAGGCTACACTACTTGTGTGTGTGAGGCTACACTACTTTTGTGTGTGAGGCTACACTACTTGTGTGTGTGAGGCTACACTACTTGTGTGTGTGAGGCTACACTACTTCTATGTGTGTGTGAGGCTACACTACTTTGTGTGTGAGGCTACACTACTTGTGTGTGTGTGAGGCTACACTACTTGTATGTGTGTGTGAGGCTACACTACTTGTGTGTGTGTGAGGCTACACTACTTGTATGTGTGTGTGTGAGGCTACACTACTTGTATGTGTGTGTGAGGCTACACTACTTGTATGTGTGTGTGTGAGGCTACACTACTTGTGTGTGTGAGGCTACACTACTTGTGTGTGTGAGGCTACACTACTTGTATGTGTGAGTGATGCTACCTACTTTTATGTGTGTGTGTGAGGCTACACTACTTGTGTGTGTGTGTGTGAGGCTACACTACTTGTATGTGTGTGTGTGTGTGTGAGGCTACACTACTTGTATGTGTGTATGAGGCTACACTACTTGTATGTGTGTGAGGCTACGCTGCTTGTGTGTGAGGCTACACTACTTGTGTGTGTGTGTGTGAGGCTACACTGCTTGTATGTGTGTGTGTGTGAGGCTACACTACTTGTATGTGTGTGTGTGTGAGGCTACACTACATGTATGTGAGTGAGGCTACACTACTTGTATGTGTGTGAGGCTACACTACTTGTATGTGTGTGAGGCTACACTGCTTGTGTGTGTGAGGCTACACTACTTGTATGTGTGAGTGAGGCTACACTACTTGTATGTGTGTGCGAGGCTACACTACTTGTATGTGTGTGTGTGAGGCTACACTACTTGTATGTGTGTGTGTGTGTGTGTGTGTGTGAGGCTACACTACTTGTATGTGGGTGTGTGTGTGTGTGTGTGAGGCTACACTACTTGTATGTGTGAGTGAGGCTACACTACTTGTATGTGTGGGCGAGGCTACACTACTTGTATGTGTGTGAGTGAGGCTACACTACTTGTATGTGTGTGAGTGAGGCTACACTACTTGTATGTGTGTGAGTGAGGCTACACTGCTTGTATGTGTGTGAGTGAGGCTACACTACTTGTATGTGTGTGAGTGACGCTACACTACTTGCATGTGTGGGCGAGGCTACACTACTTGTATGTGTTAGTGAGGCTACACTACTTGTATGTGTGTGAGTGAGGCTACACTACTTGTATGTGTGTGAGTGAGGCTACACTGCTTGTATGTGTGTGAGTGAGGCTACACTGCTTGTAGGTGCAGCTTGTTCTCTTAATGATAGTATATCACTGTTGCCAAGATATTCAAATTAATGACTGTTTAACGACCCTTAGTTAAACAGTGATGATCTGACGTAGAATTTTTCTAGTGGACGGTGGGTCCCTGTTTTCTGATCGCTCGTCAGATTTTTTTTTTATCGCCTAAACATTTTATTTACCGGTCTCTTCGCATAAATGGTTAACTTCTATTGGTAGACGACCATCCAAACTACATTAACCTAACCTAAATAATGTCACTCGAGAAATTTGCAAACCTTATGTGAGAAATTCACACAGAATTTGTGATGTATGGGTATGAGAGATGTAATGTTGGTTGTGAGAGACTTGTTACTTGTGTGAGGCTGCTGTATTTGCGAGTCGTAGATCAACTAGCCATTAAACCATGTGATTATGTGAGCATTTTGAAATAATTTAATTCACATATCTTGTACACTCTCACACACAAAAAATACCTCTAGTGTATTACTGCTTGTTCTATCCTTTCATTTTTCCTTTCTCAAGATTAACTTCTCTTTATTAACATTTCTTAAAACTAATAAACTGTTCGGTGATCTAATTAGAATTTAACAAACTGGGAACAAGGAACCCGGGCGGCTCCAGCACACCTCTACCCTTCCCAGGTGTAGTTAACGTGTACACAGGGTGGAGTTTGCTTACCTGGTACAGGTAAGCCATTGAACTTGACGGAGAGTGTATGCACGGCGGCCTCCTTTGGCTTGAAATTAACGCGGAATCTTGCGTGACCTTCAGACTGCACGTAGTTAGGAACGTTGCGGCCGTTGACAGACACGATGATCTCCAGGTTGCCTGCGCCCGCTTGTGACGCATCGACTGTGATACAGACACAGACACGGAGCAGAGAAGATATAGAGCCATGTTAGAAGTTAAAACTTTCCTTAGAAATTATGTTATCAGTGCCATTAATGCTACTTTTTCCCACATAATATTAAAAATTATAAGAAATTCAGATATCGATTATAAAAGCATCAACAGAAAAGATAAATGAGAAGCTAGACGCTGGGTGGTATTAAAGCAAGCACTCACTGGAGAAGTAGACAGGCTTAGCTACGATACCGGTGGCTACTTCAGTGACCCTGACCTTGGTAGCGTCGTAGGCTTTGACCAGGAAGGGTGAGCCTGGCACCAGCATGCCCGCTACCCGCACCTCTACACTGTGGTCACCTGCAACACACCAACACACCTTAACTACATATAAAGTCATGAACAAATAAAACTTTCTCAGCATCAAGAGAAACATAAAGCCACAAACATATATTGAGAAAAAATTGTGCCTAAAGATTATTATTATATATATTATTATTATATAGTAGGTTTGTTTCATATAGGGACAGAACGCTCGAGCGAGTTACAAGATATAATACTATAAGAGATAATAATTAAATACATATTATACATAAATGCAATAAAACGACTAGTCCATACAACTACACGCTCAACTTCAGCATATTGTCCGAAATCTGTTAAAAACTAGAGAGATGAAGGAATTAGTAGTAAGTTGGAACGTTTCCTGAGTTAGTTTTAGTTAGTTTAATATTTTTATTATGCACCTCATGCCCATTGCGTGGGGGGGGGGGGGGAGGCAGTCAAGAGATTACAGAGGTACATAATGGGATCGCAAAGTTTTGATGGCTGAACGAGTCACAGTGGTGATGAACTATTTACATATCTATATTTGGTTACAATCGTAATGAGTTATTTATGCAGATATAAATTAGGTCACAAAAATATTACAAAACTCTACCTCTAGGTCCAGGTATATTTTATGAGAGTATGCTTGTAAAAACTAAGTTTAATTGGATATGCGTCATTTACAACGGGCAAAGTCAGGGTATATTTCCAGAATGGTTGATAATATGCCACTGTGAACAAAATACTTTGACATTTCTTGAACATTTCTGAGTAAGCTATCTCTGAATTCATTAATTTTTATCGCATTTCAGTACATAATGACGCACAGATTCCAGAGGGCAAAGTGAGACCAGGTCGAAGGTTCTTACCTCCTATAGTCTGGTTGTTTACCCTTGACACAGGAAACATTTACTTATATCCAGGGCTTCCCTTACCTATTTCAACAACCAGTTCCAGGGGACGCACATGGACAGACCCACACTTTATAAAACTTTTATATTTGAATATTTATAAAAAATGGTGAAAAATATCTATGAATTTGAAATTTTTTTGCGAACATTGAAACGGATGGGTCTGGTTTTATGGAATATGGGGGGATACTTCTCTTGGATCGTGCAGTGTCCAATATAAGGTTAATTTGGGCTAGTAACATAATTAATATTCCACTCTTGAAATGCCTGTTTTGTTTATATATGACCTATAAAAATGTAATTTTTGGTATGATAAACATGTGCAATGACAATATAAAGTAAAATAAACATCACTGGAGTTAGGTTAAGTCAGGAAACAGGACAAGTGTTATCTGACGCGGGTCTTAGTCATATGATGACCCACCACTGGAATTTTTGGTCATCTGACCGAGGCCTTCCACTGGCTTGTCCGTCCACCTTTTAAAATTTATATATGAGAGTGTACTCTACTAACCAACTTCCGTCGGAGTGTACTCGACCAGCAGTTTGCCTTCGTCGTTGGTAGAGACGCGAGGCTCCAGACTCACTCTTAACGGTGACAGCACCTTCACTTCCAGCTGATCCACGCTTGCCTGCACAACAACCAGTATACAACATACGTATTAACTTTACACTTGATTTCTAAATATATTAATAACTTTATATCTGAGTCCATATGAATTATTAGTTTTGGCAATTGTGCCTTTTCCCTGCAGCCTCTTATGTAAAACAAAAATATGCTCTTTTTTGAGTGATACTAAAAAAGGCCGTCTTTCTACACTACTGCGGCAGTAGCCCCTTGTTACGGCGGCAATATAAACACAAATGCAGTATAATGTGATCCTTTATTGACTACGTTTCGCCCACACAGTGGGCTTTTTCAAGTCACAAACAGAACTACCTGGGGTGGAAGGAACGCGAGTATTTATAGTCCAGCTGAGGTCAGGTGAAGAATGCTGCATCTGATGATGTACGGAGTGGGGTTATAGAGTCTAAAAACTTGGGTAGCTTGGAAAGGAGATTGGATAAGTTGTGAGCAGACCTTTTACAGTGTTCTTATGTGGGATAGCGATGAAGAAGTTTCTTGGCAAGTGGTTCAGCTATGTTATAGAAGCCACTATTCTGGTTGAAGTTGTCGGATATAGAAATGAGTGATGATTCCAGGATTCTTCGGTATTGAGTGTTGTCTTCTGTGGCGATAAGTCTTGAGTTTCTGTAGTTTATCAAGTGGTTGTGTGAATTACGGTGTTGTACGCAGGCATTCCTTGTGTCGTCAGACCTGCTTGCGTATTGGTGTTCTGAAATACGTGTTTGGAGGTCCCTTGATGTTTCGCCCACGTATAACTTGTTGCAGTCATTACAAGGGATTATGTATACCCCTGCAGAGGATGGAGGCTTGTCCTGCCTACTACTGGTGATTGTCCTTGATGGTCGTGGTTGTGGAGGTAGATACTTGGAATGATGTTTTGGCAAAGATGTTGGAAACATGTTTGGCAATGGAGTTGGTGGGAAGGACTATGTATCTCTTCTCGGCAGTGTCTTCTCTGGGTGTGTTGAAGATGTTTAATGCTCGCCGTCTGCAGTCTCTGATGAAGTGACGAGGATAGTGGAGTTTAGAAAATATTGTTCAATTATAGTGCATTCTTCCTCAAGGAACTCGTTGCTGCAGATCTGAGTGCACGCAGGAAGAAGCCTATAATTACACCACGTTTGGTTTTGGTGTCGTGGTGAGAGTAGAAGTGGAGAAGATCGTTTTGGTTGGTGGGTTTTCGATAGACTTTAAAACGAAGTTCGTGGTCAGCTTTGCTGAGCAGGACATCAAGGAAAGGAAAGGTGTTGTCGACTTCTTCTTCAAGTGTGAACTGGATTGAAGGCTCGACCTGGTTTGAGCTTGTCTTGGAGAGCTTGAACGTTGAAGCGTTTAGGAGTTATGAGGAGAATGTCGTCAACATAACGGAGCCAGGTGACAGACGAAGGAATAATGGTGGAGAAACGTTCGGCTTCTAGATGTTCCATGTATAGGTTCGCCAGGACTGCACTGAGTGGCGAACCCATGGGTAGTCCAAAAGTCTGCTGAAAGAGGTGATTTTCGAAAGAGAAACACGTAAAGCCAACACATAGTTCAACAAGGTCGAATGAAATCGCTGGCTGGAATGGGAAGATCAAGTGAATCGTCAATTTTTCTGCGCAAGAGATCGATGGCTTGTGTAGTAGGTACTTTGGTGAATAGGGAAGTCACGTCAAGGCTGGAAAGTTTCTTGTTCCTGATGTTGATGTTGCGAATGCGATTGAGAAGATCACCTGAGTGTTTGAGATGTGCTGGACTGATAGTGCCCAAGAGTTTTAGAGAGGTGTTTGGCGAGAATTCCTGAGAGCTGGTGGGGAGCACTGCCTATTCCCGAGGATATGGGCCTCAGTGGGATACCAGGCTTGTGAGTCTTTGGCAGGCCGTACATTCTGGCAGGTCTGGGGTTGCTGGGCATGGTGTGCAGAAGTTTCTTCCCTTGTTCTGAGCCCCTCAGAATGCGGCGAGTCCTTTGAAGAAAAGTTTTAGTAAGGTTGTCCACTTGGTTAGTTGTGAGAGGTTTGTAGGTATCTGGGTCATTAAGTAGATTGAGCATTTTGTTCCTGTAATCGTCAGTGTTCATGAATAACAACACACCTCCTTTATCAGCGGTGGTGACCCTGATGGTCGTTGTCTTCTGCTAAACCTTTGAGTGCATTGATGTAACGTCGAGGTATGACTGGGGAGCTGCGTGTTGAGATGGCTGCTGAGATGATGCCTTGAAGATAGCCTTTTTGGAAGTCGGAGTCATTGTGTCTGTAGTTTTTGGCGATGAAATTGAGGTCTGTGTTTGGTTTCGTAATTCCTGTTGCGAATTTGAGGCCTAAGCTGAGGGCTTCCGTTTCTGTGGTTGACAGTGGACGAGATGAAAGGATTTTGAATAATTTCAGGTCTTCCTAAACTTTTCCAATTACTATTATCGCAGAGTGTTTGTAGTTTTCTAGTAAGTCTGATCTTCTGTTGAACATTCGCTGTGGTAACTCTGCTGCGAATGATTTCGGCGTGCGTCTGTTCATGTTGCCCCGGAGTGTGTGCCTAGTGTTCTGGCTTGGAGGAAAGCTTCCTTTGTAGCATTGTTTAAGTCATCTGCACACTCTTCAAGGTAGGTCCGAGCTGTAGCGGAGAAAGGTGGTTTGATGTTGGCAATTTGAGGAGGAGTAGATCTTGGTAAGACCATTTCTTGGATGCAATCACGAAGAAAATTGTGTCTGTTGCGAAGTGAGTAAGCTCTTAGAAGAAGGTCCAGGTATTCTCTGTGTGAAGGATCCATTTCTACTGCAGTGTTTGACACGATGGAAACAAATGGTATAAAATACCGACACAATGGCAATATAAACACAAATGCAGTATAATGTGATCCTTTATTGACTACGTTTCGCCCACACAGTGGGCTTTTTCAAGTCACAAACAGAACTACCTGGGGTGGAAGGAACGCGAGTATTTATAGTCCAGCTGAGGTCAGGTGAAGAATGCTGCATCTGATGATGTACGGAGTGGGGTTATAGAGTCTAAAAACTTGGGTAGCTTGGAAAGGAGATTGGATAAGTTGTGAGCAGACCTTCTACAGTGTTCTTATGTGGGATAGCGATGAAGAAGTTTCTTGGCAAGTGGTTCAGCTATGTTATAGAAGCCACTATTCTGGTTGAAGTTGTCGGATATAGAAATGAGTGATGATTCCAGGATTCTTCGGTATTTCATCGACCTTGTTGAACTATGTGTTGGCTTTACGTGTTTCTCTTTCGAAAATCACCTCTTTCAGCAGACTTTTGGACTACCCATGGGTTCGCCGTAAACCAGTAATGTTAAGGTAGTGAAAGATGAAGAAACGGCACATACGAGGCCAATTAGCAAGAACATTTGGCAGTATACTGCGACAGGCAAATATCTTAAGATACAGTTGTTTTTAGGGGTATGTAGGATTTGAAAAGCTAGAGTTGGAGGCAATATGGGGCTTTGAAGGCTTCAAACGAGAGGTGAGAAACCATATGCATATAATATTTGACCGATCTGAAGTCATGGAATGAGCCAGAAAATTCTGCACAGCTGTGAAGTGGTTAAACTGCCGTTTCGTAATTGCAGAGATAAAATAAAATAAAATTGCGTGGTAAATGCCTTAATACCGAAATACAAATTATGTTCAAATGGCCCTTACCTTGCAGTGTTGAGGCCAGTTCCTTTATGTGGCCCATGATATCAGCGGAAATCACAAAAATCAGAGAAGCATTGCGCATTATTCAACTATGGGGAATCAAAATCCTCTTGTCTTCTGTCCAGATGTATACCAATCTCTGTTTTCAGTTCCCACACATTTTTCAAGACATTTCCCAAACTGAGCCATTTCACACCCGTGTGTTCACATTCATAGTCTTAAAGCTGTTACAAGTTACCTGTGGTTTAATCTTTTAATAGGAATGTAGCTGACCACTTTTGCAGCAACGGCCACGGTACTGCCCAGATATTTTCGACACGTCTCACAACAGTTCGCATTAACACCCTACTCGAAATGTTTGTGTCTGCACGTGCAATAGAAGTGGGTTCAACCATGGATAGTTTTGTAAATTTTACTTGAGAGGCCTGGTCACAGACCGGGCCGCGGGGGCGTTGACCCCCGAAACTCTCTCCAGGTAAACTCTCTCCAGAGAAGAATTTGTTGTTCTCGATGAGCGTATACAATCATGTAACTGACTACTGTAATATCCTGAGGTGAAAACTGCTTGGTAAAGATTTTTTTTTTTGTTTCTTTTTCATTCGAACCATCACGTTATTTATTTTTGCGACAGAGAAGTTACTTCATATGCAAGCCGATTATATTTAGAAATGGCTATTCAAGTCGATGTCATTGAGCCTCACTACACTTGTTTTTGAGCACTGCCACTTTCTTTGAGCACTCCTAAACTTTCCTTGAGCAGACCTCACTTTTTTTTCAAGTTAATCATGCAGTTTTTTTTTCCACATACACACTGGTACAAAATTACAAACTCTTCAGAGGTTCATTCTTCACGGAGTACTCAGTATTGTTGATGCACCTTCCTCTTTTTGTCGATACTTATTTCCGTAATAACATGCGCAGGATGTAGTTCAATAGGTACCAAACTCGCTGCAAACTGGCATAACACACACGAGCAGAAACATCACTAGAAGAGTACAGTAGCATGCTCTTCCGCGAGCAGTACAAACTAGAGTGATGTACTTTTCATTAAACCCGCTTAGCGAGGAAAACAAGTGACATACAGAGCAAGGTCATGGAAAGGTCATGCAAGCCATGGCTGCGTCTGGTCTTGGCGCTCGTATCAAATGCCCCACAAATACCCCACACATTTTAAATGGATCGTTTCTGAGACTGATTTTTTTTTATTGCTAGATATAACAGTGGGCCAGATAACAAGCCGGATCTGGTGAATGGCTCTACTCACGCTGGGAAATGACACGGAAACGTTTTACAGAATAACCGTCAGCAATACGGTGATTAATAGTCCTCTTTATGGGATGAGGAGGGTTTGAAGAATGTAAGTGAGAATTAAGAAAGTG